TATCTACATTATACAGTAAAGTGGATCAAAACAAATTGTTAGCTCATCTCACAGAAAAACATTCATTACAATCCCATGGCGCTTTTTAACCTTGTTATGAAGTCTAGAGGTAGCTGCACTAAATTCATCCATTAAACTGGTAAATAATCCTAAGATAATTGTATTTATCAACATAATTGATTGGCGTTTCATTCGGGTAAAATTCAAATTCATTCTCCAGATTTGTACCTGACCCATTGTAAATTTGCTATTGACATATATTTAGAGATCTAAGTCTTCAAAATATAAATACAATCAGAGGTGTGATGGTGTTTCCTTTTTTAAACAGAATTGGTTATCAGCTTTCTAGGTTATTATTATATTAATAATTAATCTGCTATTTGTAAAAAGCTTGGATAAACAACTAAACAATGCTATACTACGCTAATCATAAGAATCATGAGGAATAACCGATTTGAAATAAAAGAACCACAATTCCAAGATGAAGAACAAGTTCATGATTTCGAGGCTAAGTTGAACACTTAGTGATACAACTTAACATCATGTCACAACCAGGTGCTTTGCCAGACTTAAAAAGCCTAATATGAAGCAACATTTCATTGTCACAAAAATCCCTATCAAGATCTATCATGTATTACTGTAAAGATACTTGGTAAAATTCTTATCACAAGCAGTAGTATTTGAATTTAGGGATTTGAAATGATTTCGCTATGACTCTCCACTAATACAATCCATGTTATTACCATTGTTGTTTAAATTACCAAGCTCCTCTAATAATTTCATAGTTTTGGATCAGAGTGTTGCATTGACATCATTTTGTCACACAATTTGACTCTAAATTCCCTTTTCTTAGCTTTAAAAACCTGTTTATATTTTATATTGACCCTGTCTGATATCATTAACGTTAAGGAATTATCAAGAAGCTGCTTACGTAGCGAACGGACGTCATTGTGAAACCACTTTTTATTTTTAGGTTTATTATTTCTCTTTTTAATTCTTGGATAGTAAACTTAAGAACATTTACTAGCAACATTATTTTTTCTCCTGAAATGGCCCAGATAAAAGCATCTTTTTGCTATTTGCTATTTTCCAGAGCAAGAGAAAGTGAAATTGGAAAATGATCTGAAAGGTGATTCAGAGGGCAAACGTTGAAATATTGAACAAAATGAAAAAGCGAATAACTGATAACTCCATAATCTACAAGACCAAATTGATGACTAGTAAATTTCTCCGAACATTGGGAAATGCGACAAGTACTATTACTGTAGAGATCGACTAGAACTTTGCATTAACTGTTAACATGAGAAGCCATATTATTCTTTTTATAGCGAGAATCAGTAAAAACATGGACGTTTGGCACTGGAAGATAGTCATTACAAATATTTCAATAAAGTCAGTCAACCCCCACAGTACAAGCGTTGACAACTTTTCCATACTTTATCAAAATTGATTATGTCAATCTCTAATTGTTCTAAAAGCAGCCACAATACCTCCTGAATTTCTCCCTTTTTGACAATGTCTAACCCTAATCACTACGGAAAAAATGAAAATCTTTAAGAGGAAAATCTGAACTACTATTTCTATCTAGCCAAATCCTACGCAATCATGTTTTGTTTTCTAACAAAATCTGTCATTCATTCAGTTTGCCCCTGATACTATGAATGTTCCATGAAGCAAGCCTAAGTCTAGCATGCAACAATCTACAGCAAAAAAACTAGTTCATATTGTTCCTGTAACGGTTACTCTCCTTTTGCCAAGGTGGTGATACATTATACTGAAATATTGCTCTTCTTGTTGTCGGTCAGTTTCGCTAGTCTATCTATGATTGACTTGTTGGCCAGTTGTATGGTTATTTTACTCTGAGCACATAGCGGTTGAAAGAAAGTACTTGCTGTTTAAAGTTTCTATTGTAGTTGTTACTGTTGTATATTCTATCAATTCGATATGGATTATGCAGACATATGTGGTAACTACTGTTTTGAATGTTTTGTAGCCATTCATACCTCTGTTGTGAGAACACTTGTTCCTCCTTCATTCAGATGAAGCCTGTCCCCCTTTAACAGATTACTTGAATTCGACAGTCTGAGGTGGTACAGGTCAAGTTCAACTTCAGATTCAAGACTACAGAATAATTCTATCTGGTTGGTTGATACGTTCGTTGATTTCCGGATTATAAATCTAGTGAGGTAAATATAAGGAAAACGTAAAAGAAATGAAAACGGGTGTAGTGCATAGATGCACATTTGTAGTTTGAGTGATAATGTTTCTCTGAAATTAAGTATTTGCCATGTGTCACAATTTCCAGCTGTACGTATAGGTTGACATACGCCATATAAGAGTGTATACAATTGATTATTTAATGGTGCTTGTGAAGATACTGATACGTTGCCAAATGATGATGAAGGTATTTGAGTTTAATAAAGTCGGAACATCATAAGACATTCAACTATTTCCTGAATAAGGTAATGTCACTACCACTTCATTATGCGTTAAATTACGTCGACTTCGGGGTCGTTTAGTTAGGTCATTGGCATATACATATATAAAGTTTACCTACAAGCCATTAGTTTGAGTCTCAAACTATGGTTTAGTGCTATTGACATAAGGTTGGTTGCATTAATCCATAAATGCGCTATCAATAACCATTCTAGTGACACATTTAAGTCTCTGTAAAACACTTGTGTGGGATTTATTTTATTAACTTGAATGTGCTTAATTTTTATCAAAAAGTGTTTTAATTACCCAGACAAACACTTTTCCCAGATACTATATTTGAAAGAAAATGTTCAATTAAAATTTCGTGTTTTAATGAAAAACATGAAAGTGTTTGACAGATTTACAGTGTAGATTCGGTAATGCTGAAATATCTGCAGGCGGATACACTATATTATATATATATTGTTTATAGTCTTGAAGACATATCTAACGGTTCCATCCATGTAAGATGAAAAGGTATCCTCAAACATGAATATTTTATTACGTTAACATATTAGGCAGGTATTATCGGCAAGTATGACCAGGGGAGATATTAAATAATCCCTCTGTCAGCCAGCTAGGATCCACGTTAAATGAAACACGAATGGCCGACTGTACGTATCGAACAATGAACTAATGACATTGTTTCATTTAAACCGATTTTAATAAAGGTTCATTTAAATATGGAATAGAAAAGGTAACAAAACGTCTCATAGGTTTGAATATATAACAAGACAGATGTATCACGTGACTACCATGGAACATTAAAATCCTTAATGCACCCTGTATATAATGTTGTTTTACTTTCTCAAATGTACTGTATTCTGTCATCTGAATAAATGAAGTAATTTTAAGTCACGTTACAAAATTAAACAATGAACTGTGCAAATAAATTGTGCATGCCTCTACTTAATATTAAAAATTCTTACAGTTATCTAAGATTCGTTCACGTACAACTAAATTAAAAAGCCACCTATTTGCATATTAAAAAATATTTGTCAATTAAAAACAGTTGTATGTGTATTCTATTTATCCGAATATTAATAAAGCTTATTCGGCTAAACACTAATGTATATACGAGCTTCTACGTCATAAGTGGTCGTCCGATGGATGATTACTCTCAATGTTAGTCCTTTTATGATTATAAACACAACTTCTGTTACTCTACACATGATAATTCTTCCCGCGGGCTCAGGTGCAAATTATACAGACCACTTTCCTTCCAAGAATACACAGTAATAAACACACATAACATTTGAAATACGTTTTTAATGCACGCGATGTACACTACTCAAACGCAATATTTTGTTTAATAAACATCATGGCATCTATTTATATTGAATGTAGAAGGGCTGTCACTATTATTTGAAGAAAATCCATGAGAATGATCACAGCGGCATGATTTTCAATTAACCTTCTTATTTTTTCCGAAGTACTTGCAATGTTAAATCTCTATATTCATTGGAAAACAACGACGAATAAAATACAATATTACTATACATCTTGCATTTAGACGTCTGTAAACCTATGTATGTACGGTTCCCTTACTTCAAAAATGTACGTTGCATTCACTCCGTAATCGAGCATTTTCGTATACGCAGGAATAATGATGTAACGGAAATTGAGACGATCGCCCTCAAACAATCCCGCATACACTTAATGGCATGAATTGCAGTGTAGACCACAGTGGCGGTCAATGCCTGAACTATACTGCCTTAGTGCACAACCCGCAGTATTCTCGTTATAAACACAGAATATTTATATACAGTCCTGCATATTGCTTGAACGTTTAGCGGTTCACCGCCGACTCTCGACATATACATAAATTATCAATATATACACATCCGGGTATTTACGGAATTGGTAATATAAAGCGGTGCAAAATAATATATTCTCTAAACGTTTAGGCTGATGTAGAAGAAGCACAACCCACGATGTAAGTATATACGCATTGCTTTTAACATGTGTTCTCTCGAATAACAAATTTAATTTTTAAAGATCGAACATGCTTGCATCGAACTCACCTCAACTTGCCTATTGCACTACGATATTTGTTTGATTCAATTACATCGCTATACCTACGTACATCCTAGACGATTGGCCGGAAACAGTGCACTGAGCGCTCCGTATTGTGTTGTGCTAAGATGTTGAAATAATGATCTTCATCGTTGATCTTCAAAGAACTCCCTGTGCCACTGCTGTATATTAAAGACAATTCATCCTGTTATGTGTACGGAATTGTATTTCTTTCATAACACATTGATAATTTGCATATTAATCATGATCTGCATAATTTTGTAAATAATTGTTAGACCTAATTTTCAAACCCCGCGAAACGTTCAGTCTCATCAAGGCGTTTGATTTTTGTATTCAAAAAATGTTACTTTGTAATTTCAGTTCATATCTTTTTCCGCAGACCCCATCTAACCTATTTCTTGATAATAATTTGTTTTTCATTGTTTCTATGCACTGTGGTATTTATCTTAACTTACAGATTTCATTATTTCTGAAAGGCTGCAATCGTCATGAACAACATCAGCGACGCACGTGATTACATGGACACGAGAAAGGAACTCCCAGGCACTGTTTTGTTTAGGAATATATCCTGGTTGTTGATTTTACTATACGCTGTAGTATTTGTTATTGGATCAGTCGGTAACCTTCTTTTGGTATGTACGGTCATGTGTTGTAGTGGCTTACGCAATGTGACTAACTTCTTCATTGCAAATCTAGCCGCGTCAGACTTTTTCATGTGTATATTCTGCATTCCATGGACGTTAGCGCACAGTCTAATGAAAACCTGGGTGTTTGGAGAATCTATGTGTCGGTTTGTTCCGCTAGTACAAGCTTCGTCTGTGTACGTGTCCGTGATCTCACACGTTGTCATAGCGATTGATCGATATATTGCAGTGATATATCCGCTAAAACCTCGATTGACTCGGTACAGTGGGACTGCGGTCATCGTGGCCTCTTGGATAATTGCATGCTGCTTGGCGTCACCGGTGGCTGTTTACACTCATCTGTTTGACCTTCGTGACTTTGATCTGGGTATCGCATGTTTCGAGCTGTGGCCTAACCGTGAGCGAAGAATCGCATACAGTATAACCCTGATTCTCGTCCAGTATATTGTACCGCTCATAATCGTTAGTGTATGCTATGCCAAGATGTCTATTAACCTAAACCGCCGCGTAGCCCCAGGTGTTGTAACAGATGAGCAAATGTACAGAGACACTCGAAGGAAACAGCGAACAAATCGCCTTTTGCTTGCAGTGGTCGCCAGTTTTGCGTTCTCGTGGTTTCCCTTCAACGTGTTCATGGTTTTGACGGACACCGATATTGACGCTATAAATCATGTGTACGCCAACATAGTTTTCGCTTTCTGTCACATAATCGCATTAAGTTCAACTTGTTATAACCCATTTATCTATGCTTGGCTTCATCCAAACTTCCGTAAGAAATTAAAATCCATGCTATCATGTTGGCGGTGGCGTCATACGGGTAATGACAACCAGACGGGGAGGGCAAACAGGGGTTACCGCACTCACAATCACTCGCTGGAACCCAAAATGGCTGTGATCTCTGGCAACGATGGCATGAGTCAACGCGTGGTATCGCAAGAACAACGTGTGCGCACCAGATCTGCGCTAGAAAGTGACACTGACACAACGTACGAGAATAACCCATCTCACTATTTACACCATACGGAAAGGACAGCTGATGTTAGAGTATAATAACATATCAACTTACAAATATTAGTGTTTTGCCACAATGTTTTGGGGATGACACAATGTATCCACGACTTGCAAGATGATGTATATATAGATCGTATAGTAGTGCGTAAGTTTGTGGGAAAGATAGTAAATACGACTGGAAGTATACTGTTTGACTGCTAACTAAGAACGCACTCTGATATATTTACAACTGAAACCCATTTATAGCACATGTCCGTACAAGGTAAATATTAATTAATGTGTGACCAGCATTAAAATATATTGAATTTCTAATAACATCGATTAAGGAATAACGAGCAAATAAGAAATGATAAATACATTGAAATAACGAGAATTTTCGAATAATAATCGAATATTAAAGACTAAGAATACAGTTCTACACCAGTCTAACAGCCCATTAATATACGGTAATCAGTGCTTGTTGTTTTCAGTATTGCGGGACCGGCCTGTATTTAGTTGTGGATAGATTTTTTCAGTTCTTGTATTTTCCAGGCGTTGTCACCATGGTCACAAGATATTTAAGTCTTTATCGTGGCTGGTGATTAATCGTGCCTGATGATTGGTAGCGTGACGATGATTCGTAGCAATCCTAAGTCTTTTTAGTACCTTCAGTTCTCTGATGTGTGTTTCGAGGAATCGTAAAATGAACGGGTAATTTCGTTCGTTTTGTCAGGTTCGGGAGTCTCCACAGGGCTTGCATATGGCACGAAATTATTGTGTGCGATTGTCCATACCTTTTCTTCAAGAATCGCCGCGCTTCCTTGAAGCTTGCTGTATGCATCTATGGTCTGAACGGTGTCTTAGTCTTCTATGGTCTTCCGGCATATTGGAACACTTCGTCAGTCAGTTTCAAAGATCCTGGTCTCGGCACCAAATGTTTGGTTCGCATAGGTAACTAAGAACACACTCTGATTTATTTATAACTAAAACTCATTTATACAACATTTCGGTACAGTACGCAACAAAGAAGTACAAGGTAAATATTACCTATAAGTCGTGAGATTTATAAGCTTAGAAGTTATCTAATCTTCGATATAGATATAAATTAAGCCATGTTGGATAAATAATGTGAAATAAATTGCCAACAACCGTTAGGCCATGCATCTCTCGTTGGTTTCGCTCGGCATTTTAACCTCTATAACATTCGACATTGCATCGAGGGAATAGGTTACATAAAAATACTAAACACAATACGTACAATGAATTACCAGTACTGCCGGCACAAGCCAGTAGCACTTGACTTTCCCTTGCAGCGTCAACTAACGAAATAGAACACACTGATTGAACGGCGCCTTTGTTTTTGTCAACTGACTTCCAGTCTCTATTCATTGAGAGTGGGGGAGGGTGATACTGCCGTGTGCATTAGTGACGTTGATGGACGGAAATGCCGTGTAAAAAAATTGCAAATGCAAAAGTACAAACACAAATCTCCTATAAAATATTATAATGAGTTTTCATATAGAGGATAATACCTGAATATGATATGGATGAAACTAGACGAGGGACAAAGATGTATGTGCGTGGTTTTATTTTAAAATTGCCAATTTACGTGTCGATGCCAATCCAATGTGACGTCTTGATTCCCGCTCAATGAGTATCCGAGTTAAAGATGCGTTCGCATTACAAGTACGGTTTTTTTTTTTTACTTTGACAATTCAAATATACGCCAAGCATACCTCGACCAACCAATGACTTATGACGACTTTCTCCGTAAAATAATCAAAGATCATCATCACCAATTGCAAGTGGTCGTCAACATAGGTAATCACATCCGGTCTAACTTGTTAATATGCGTACTTGTACTTATATTTATAGTTTGCAGCTGACTGATTAACATGTGAACCGTAAACCAACCACGCAACACCTTTCGTATTAATTTTTTCGACCTATTACATCTTAGCTATCATTGATACTTCGATTCAAATTGAAATCGAACATAGTTTTACGTAACGCATTTTTAGAAACATAGTCTAATGAAATGAACTTTTGAATAAATTTGCTCGAACAAAACCCCCACTCAATCACCCAATATTTATTATTTATTTTGCTGCTTATCTTGCAAAGAAAAGTCAACGATTGGCTTGCGCAGTTGAAAAACAAAAACAAAACTTTGACATATAATAAACTTTCAAAAACTAAATTAAATTGTAAAAACAGCATGTTTGCGCACAATTTATTCTGTGTTTTGAGTTGTTGTATCAAAAATATGATGTGATTTATTATCAATTTGGCGTATTCATTGCACCATATGTATCGCTCATTATCATTTATTTTTTTAGGTTTGTAAAATAATATTTTTCAGAATATAGTTGTAATAAATGCAGTAACGTGTTTATTGTGTTTCATTTCATGGATTTATATTGTGTGCTTTGATTAGGTATTATTGCATATTCTAATTTAAATTGTTTATATAATTATATACACACATGGTGTGTTTGAGGGACGAGGGTTATAACTGTAATTTATGATTGGATTACTTAAGATAACAAAATAGTCATCACGCACAGTGCTTTGTAACTGTTTGATCTTTGGGTACCGTTTTTAAAAAAAAAAGATTCCCAATTGGCAATTATCCTCTCCTGGATCTATGACGTACGTAGTAATATTGCGTAAAGACGCGTACATCTACTGCTATGGATTGTTATTGAAAAACAGGAAAAATCACATGCTGACTCAGCACGACAATTACAAGTAACTATTCCTTATTGTCACACCGGAAAAAAAGTATTACAAATTTCACACTGAACACTGACAATCATGCATTACGTTGTAATTATGCTGAAATCGAGAATGAAAACCGGTTGTGGAAATAAGATGCGTGGATAATTGGCCACCTGGAAGATGTTATCAACACGTCTGTTTTTTCAATCCATAATAAATACATTTACAAATGAATAATGCCAACTATGTATATCAATTTGTATGCGTGTGCTCGTGTAAGGTGCAATTGTTTAAATTACCGGCAGTCAGTGAAATCCCGATACGTGTTTTGTTGTGACGCGAAGGCATAAATCGTTTTTTTTCATCAATGTACATAACACTGTGGGCGTATCCCAAGTCCTCCCTTGATTATCCAAAATCAATCTGTATTACTACATGAAATATTGCTGAAGCACCACAGCCTCGTTTAATCTAAAGTTGCCGAAGGTCTACATACGTACATTCAGGTTCGTTCCATTTACTAATGGGTCTGTGACGTCATCACGTTAGGGAAGACGTCACAACAAGAGAAACAAGCACGTTTTGTAATATTCCAATAAACACTTGAAATATCATCTTGACTTTTGTTATTTTCTTTTGTTATTAAACTTGATTGCAGCCCAAATGAACACACGCATCGTATATTCAATCAACAGCTGTATATTACATGAATATCCTGACATGTATAGTTGCAATTACTCAGTTTATTTGTTATGATTTGAAACAACGTATATTTTAATAACTGTTCACTGGAGGTCATAAATATAATCGTCTAACTGTCTGGAAATTGAAAAAAATAGTATACACACAGATTATATACTCTCCGTTTAAACTCATTCATTATTTATTAGATCATGCGAACCCTGCATTTACCTAGGAGCCCTTTCTCATTCTTGGGTGCATGAGGAATTATATAAAGCACACATTGTACCTGAATTCTCCGTAAATGAATACTATTTCATAGAACTTGAAAATAGAAATATCGAAACATGTTGTTGGCAAACCAACAAAAGTGCCTTATAAACAATTATTTCGTTCATAGTAGGATGGGGTGCTTAATTTTAGCCACATTAACAAGTTCATTTTTGTAAATGTTAATTGTGGCATTTGAAAATTGATTTCAGCAAAAGAAACTAGGTATATCAATACACATAGAGAGTTGTGATGTTTTGGGAGAACTAATAAAACATGATAACTTCCTGGTTTCATTTCGATGGTGATTACCGTCTTGAATCTGCCCCATATTACACGACAGAGGGGTAGTCGAGGGGAAAAATTGACTGAGGTTTGCCTGCTGTGCCCGTACTAGCAGCTGATATGACCATGACAAACTCATAAACACGTCAAAAACATGTTAAAAAACACACTGTCTAAAAACAAACAAAGTAATCACTGTATAGTTCCCTATTTTTATTATTATTTGGACTCAACGATTATTTTCATTAGGAACCATAGAACAGAACTTGAAAAGAGATCACCATTTGTATTAAAACATGTCTTGACCACTACAAATTACAATTACAATTTTAATGTGAAAGCAACATGCCAACTCTGTCGCGTCTTGCATGATTCGAATATTCAACCAATCAGGAAATCGTAAAAAACATCGTAAATTCTCCACAAATGCTAGAGGGCGTCATAACCAAAGATTCGGCATTAATACTAAATATTTATAAGAATAATATTGAGATATATGTAATATTAATATTAATATGCAATTTAAACATTGTTATTGTACATCTCCCTTGTCACATAACAAAATACCAACTTCTTTGAAAAAAGAACATTTTGTGTGAAATTATACATATTTAACGTCCACAAGCGTGAGTGAAAATTACGTGGAGTTACCCTTGAGGACTGGGACTTATTAGTTGTTGCAAGCAATATGAATCTTGAGAAGATAAGGTATATATTAACTACGTGCATGACGTAGTTTAAAAAAAATATGACGTAATGAACACACAACATTTGTTGGTGATTACGCATTGTACATTTATGTATGATTCAATGATTACTAAATACTACATAGAAGTTGCGTACTAAATTATATTTCATTTTAACAGTGATACAATTATATTGGTGTATCAATTAGACAAACGCAAAGAAATATACAGCGCCTTGCTCTAGACTAATATATTCATAGAAAAAAGGAGGAAATAAATAAGTGTTAAATCAGGTGTGACATTATTTATTATCAATTATTTCGTCGAACTGCGAGATAGCCGTGTTCTTGAATGTCTTATGTAGTGTCAATGTCTTCTCGACATGATTCAACTGCACATATATAGTGAACACAAAGC